GCCGCCACCACTCGTCCCCGCTGGCCACGCACTCGCAGCAGAGGATGGTGGCAGCAATGGGGCGGCGGCGCTGCAGCGGCAGACGGCGGGGATCGGCTGTTCGTCGGGCTCCCACGCCCCTGTCCGCTCACCGGACGCCGCTGGGCCGGGTTGCTTGCTCATCTCTGGATGCGAAAGACGAAATAAGCGGGAGAAGGTGTGAACTGTGTGTGCGGACAAGAAGAGGAAAAACATATAGGCGAAAGCTAAAGAAGACACGAGGCACGAGGGGCCCGCTCATTCTTTTACCGGGGCGCTTCTCATCAAAGGCAAAAAGATATTCTGCTCCGTACTCCCCCTTCGAGCGCAGAGAGTTACGCGTTCATGCACATCTCTTCGTCCAGACACCCACAGCGGGGTGACTCCAGCCGCATCTCCGCTCTTGATGAAGTGTCGCCAACTCCCTTGGCTTCCAGCTCCATTCGCTCCAGCACCCGGTCGAGCAGCTGATACGATGCAAGGCCGCACAGCATTGCAATGGAGGCGGTGCGAAACATCATCCTTGGACCGAGGATCTCATACAGGTTCCCTGCAATGATATTTCCGATTATGGGCCCTATCCCAGCAACAAACATGTATAGAAAGCCTGTAGCGGAGCTAGCAAGATGCGGCGGATAAACGGTGTTTACGATGCGAACACCCGGCAGCCACATGAGACCGAACGTGGCACCATGGAGCGGCTCGAGAAGCAGAACCATCCACGGGCGTTGGAGGAGAGAATAACCAAACACCCGCAGAGACCAGATGAACATGGCGAGCGAGAGCATCTGGCGCTCGGTGAACCAATGGTGCAGAACCCTAGAGCATCGGAAGATAGGTATCTCTGTGCTCACTGTCATGGTTAGCGACAGACCCATCAACAGTTTGGATCCGCCGAGGCTCTCGAGGAAAACAAAAAGGAACGTGTTGATGAAAGTGTACCCCATACCCATCAGGCACGATGCAAGAAGAAAAAGAAGAAGCCGTCGGTGAAGAAGAAGAAAGAGTAGAACCTCGTGGAAACGCATCGGGGTGCGCTCTACTGCTTCGTAGGGCCTCGTTGTGAACATACAATATAATACCGCTAGTTGTCCAACTGCGTACTGGAGCGAGACGATTCTCCAGCTTCCCACGGCATCAACGAGGAACGCAGCAACTGGGTTGCCAACTCCCCATCCGTATGCCCCAAATGACCGCAATGCCCCCCATGCCTCCACTCGAGATTCCTTCGGCAGCATCGAGAGTGTGTGCTGATCGAAAAGAGGATTCATCGGGGTCTGAAAAACCACCAAAGCGAAAAATGTGACAACAGTAATAAGCACAGTGTTGCTGCCAAGGAACACCACGAGGAAAAGCGAGGACATTATAGAGCACGTGACAAGGGCGGCGTGCGTACATCTAAAGCGATCAACGAGGTACGTTAATACAGGCAGCATAAACACGCTGAAAAAAGGAATGGAAGCCACAATGAGCCCAATATGCGGCGTGCTGAAACCTTTGGCGGTGAATATAACGCCGAGATAGGCCGAGAAGGACCCAGACGCGAAGAAATACCCAAAATACCCGAGTTTTGCTGGTAACAAACGGATATGCGGTGTGATGATGATGTCATCTCTGCTGCTGTCACAACTTTTTTTGTTTTGGATTTCTGAGGCCAGACCCATTTCGTGCAGGGAGCCTATCGATGAGCCTCCCCGCGGCGTCGCCACACGTGAAAGTACAATCGGCGTGCCCAGCGTCGAGAGCACAATGGGATCCATCACTCGCGGTTTGTTCTGTTGTTCTTGTGGCATTTTGGCCCCATTCCTTGTTTTTAACAACAAAAAACAACAACAACTGCTGCAGTTGCTTTTAGAGTTTTCTTTCCCGACTATTCTGCGCCAAGAAGGGGGCTTGTATCGATGGCAGAATGGTTTTCGACGCGAGAAGATGGGAATAAAAGGGAGGTGATGCTGCTGCGTGTAAAGCGTTAGACACACGCCAAGAGACCGGCGCAGGAGCGCAGCACAGAGAAGCAGAAAAAAAGGGACCGGGTTTGATAAGATTCTTGCCATTTGCACAACTAACACGATGGAGAGGTTTTAATAGATACTCGCGGTATGAATAGTAAACAGGCTTAAGCCTCGACACCCGTGAGTAATGATATACGAGGTATGCAGGGCACATGCTCCCCTTCTTTGTAGTTTCTAAACACTCGTTTCCTATTTTTCCGTTTGTTTTTCTGTTTAATTTTACTTTTATTGTTGTTGTTGTTGTCATGCCCATAAAAAAAAAAAAAAGGGAGGCAAACTGTAAATCGCGTCCAAGCCACTTGCTTCACTGCGCGGGGCCTTACGAACATTACCCACGAGCTACAATAGTATTTCAAAACCATCATCTCTATCAGCCTTCATTTGCTGCTTTCCCCCCTGCCTCTGAAGTGCTCGCCCCATTTACACCACGGCCGTCGCCATTGCTGCTGTCGTCGTCGTCGGGGAAGTGCACCGTTGCAGTCTTATCGTCACTCGGCGTCTCACTGGTGCGCTCGTCGGAGGCAGCGGCGGAGTAGAACGCGTGGCCGTACACAAGAGACGAGGCCCGTCGGCGCAGGTACCGCGGCTCGGCATCCTCCAACTTGTCAGTGCGCACCTCGCGGATGATATACCCGCCCTTGTCCACGTGGTGCACGTGATGCTCACGCACACGCGGCCTTTTGCTCTTCACTGGCGATCCCTGCTGGCTCGGTGCCTCGCCCCCGGTCCGGGCTCCCTGACTGCTCTGCGACGCGTCCTCGCTCACATAGTCCCTGCTCGAGGCCTTGGAGCTCGCCACCGTCACTGCCTCGAAGAACTCCGTTTCACCGTGCGGCAGATCGCTCGGTGTGCTGATGATGGCGTTGCCATTCACGCAGGGCTGGTCACGGTAACGCTCCCCCAAACGGGAGGGAAGGGCGTTGGGGTGGGTGCGGCTGGTAGGCTCACGACTTCTCGTCAGCTGCTGGGCGCGTGCCTTTTGTATCCAGCAGACGCACCCGAAGACCGCGAAGGCGACGGCGATGAAGAAGAAGACGCCAATGATCGCCACGGACGCCATATGAGCGCTGGCTGGGTCGTCAAGACGCTTCACAATCCAAACAGCAGCAGCAGCAGCACGAAAGAGAAAGAAAAACGAACAGGAAAAATAAACAGAGAAACAAAAAGGAGGAAAACACGAAAAAAAAAAAA